GGTGCAACATGCCTTTAGTACCAGCTACTCGGAGGTTGAGATGGGAGGAATTCTTGAAGCCCAAGACTTTGAAGCTGTAGTGAGCTATGTGATCACACCACAGCATTTCAGCCTGGACAACAGAGCAAGACCCTGTCTTTTAAATATATAAGTACCCTTTCTGCACCTAGAAATAGATTACCAGGGCTAAGGCCAGTCTTAGGGTTGGAAAGTATCTTGCTATTTCATTGATTCTATTTTATTGTAAAACTCAGAAAGGTTGAAATATATAATACAAAGTACACCTCTTAGATTTGTTGAAATATATAAAGACTAAGAGTTGAAGCATGCGAGTTATTTTAAGGCCAGAAAAGGTAAGGAAAGAATGAGAGTGGGAAGAACATGAACATTGTGGGTGGCCGAAGAGGAGTCAGTGCAACAGACTGAGAAGAAAAGATTAACTAAGGAAGGGTTGAAATAATAAAGGTTGAAAAAGGCTGAATTGACTATGGAGTATAAAATTAAAATTTTGTTTTAAATTTGAAAGAAATTTTATTTATAAATTTGAAAGAAATCCTCTTTGAAAAGAGGGCAAAAGAATCATTAACCTTTCATGCACCCAATGCCAAATGATATTTGTTAATATTCCTCAGCAAATAATACACAGTTGATCCTTGAACCACAAACGACATGATTTTGAACTGTGCAAGTCTACTTATACGTGGAATTTTTTCAACCAGACACAGCCCAAAAGTACTGTAGTCACAGGATGCAAACTCACACGTAGGGATGTTTTGGTTTATTGAGGTTCCACAGGGCAGACTATGTGATGTTAGTATGCACTGATTGGGTATACGTGGAGGTACCAGGCCCTGAACCAATCCCCTGCCTATACCAAGTTATGACTGTTTTTCTTTATGCCAATTGGCATTGTATCAATTACTAAAATGGATAACACCATTTGAAACTTTTAAATTACTGTATTTTGCCATGTATCATGCATACTTTTTGCCCAGATTTTTTGAGAGAAAAATAAGGGTTCACATTATAGATGGCTAGTGCTAATTCCATATCTATGTAAATGTTTTTAATTCCTTTATTTTCATTATGCATTAAAAGTGTAACTCTAGAAAGCAATACTGATACCTGTATGCAAAATATTGGTTTCGTTGAACTTACAATGGACTTGTAACGAAAGCATTTGTGGCCTAGGAAGAGTCGTGTGTCTCTTGTACACTTTAGGTGGGA